AGGAAGAGAGCAATTTGGATGAGGAGAGAGATGAGGGAAATGATTGCCCCGACCCTCCATTTCCGGATACGATTCGCACGTAGGTGACGAGCGTACGCGTCGTTCGAAGTTTTACGAGTGGAAGCGCTGCTGTGCTTTGCGATCCATCCTTTGGAGAGGACTCCACCAAGCGCGCTGCTGAGGGTGAGCATAAGACTGGTGAACCAGAGACCATTGATATTCAGAAACGATGTCTCTGGCTCGAACAGCTCAGGGTTCAAAGTATTTGGGATGTTCTGTAGTGTGCTGAGAATGTCCTTCAATAGACGCGTTTGTGGATCCTCGTATAACTCCTTGCGACTTTCGACTATGAATGCGGTCAGAATGCCAGCAAACAGACCAGCCTATTGAAAATGAGGACTAGATCCATTCCATAAAAATAGCGATACTTACGAATATCAGAAGCGAGTCCAAGTCCTTGTTCCATGGCTCCATTAATTCTTTATCCTCTGCTTCCGCCTCCTCCAGATACAGACCCCAAATACGAGCATCTGGCGCGGCGTATTTGGCATAAGGAGATGAAGGTTTGGTTTTCGTTTCATTTTCTTCAGGCGAGTCGACAATGTTATCCTTCTCCTCATTTATCTGGCTCTCCTGATGCTGACCTCCTCCTGTCATATGAAGTTTTAGTCACATTATTTCACAGTTTAGAGTGAAATGAAAGCGTGCACCTCTCTCAGCGTCCCTCAAATCATGAGCAAACTTCCGTGTTGACATGGTGGTGAGGAAACCAGTATCCCCTCTAACAACGACTTTTGTCTACCAGGAGTTCGGCCGCCGCTCCCCTTTGAAATCGCCTTTACATCTCTTGCTCCCAACCACTACCCTGCCGCTTTCAATCTAGTTTTCCTTCTTACCTTTGAATTTTCCGCTCTGTATTCAGTAATTGCTGGTAGAACCTGAACCTCTATAAAAACCTTTTCATTTGAACGTCTCATGAGTATGAGTTAGACGGTTTTGCCACATTGTCTGCGTTCAGCGGACATGCCCTTTTTCATCGCCTTTTTTTTGGCTCCTCCTTCACCCACTGTGACCTTCCCTACAATGGCTCTTACTCCTAATACGAATTCCATTTGTTTATTGATCGTGCCAATTTAACCTTCGTCCAGCAGACCACACAAATAATGGCCTGCACGAGCCTTGAGCGGGATGATCTGTCTGAGACGTCCTCGGTCATTTCGTTTATGCCTTCTTCCTTACACTTGCAGTTTGAGAAATATCCCACTAACTACGAGTAAGAGTGGTCACTCTGTGTGTTCAATTCATTGTGCTTGTCATGCCCGTTCGGATTAGGGATCTCCCCGAAGGCCAGTCGCCTCTGTAAGGTAAAATATTGTCTATTCGAAGAGTGTATGATATGGATATGGAGTAAGTTTATCAGGTGGCTCTAATAAGATCGTGTTCGGTCGGGGATTGAGGCGTCTTGCGCCTCGCTAACGATATCACACATACGGATATACGCCAGCTCTGAACGTGCGGAGATCCATTTGAAATCCATTTGAAAACGGATAATCTCCAATGACATCCATACCGAATCGAGTTCAACGGGGTTCTAGTATCGATAGACTTGCGTGCTGTCACTTGGCTCAAAATCATTCTACACCTCCAGAATCACTTACAACCGCTCTTGATTCCTTTGCTACGATGAATAATTTCTACCTTTTCAAATCTAAATAGTTGCTATGATGTTACTAGAAAATGGGCTGTGCCGACTTGAATCGATGCTTGCCCACCATTATATATTCAAAAAGTCGGGGCCAGAGCGCTATATAAGATGACAGCTTCAGGCTCTTACGACGTCACACAAGCTAACAAAGTGAACCCATACCTTTCTTCGATTACGCGAAGAATCGGTGAAAGGATACAAAAATGATACTGTTTGTGGCGAAGGGTGAGCGTAGAATGATAGCGCCCTTCGAACGCGTCGAAAACAATCCACACCAAGCAACAAATGTCGACCATAGCTGCAGTTAAAATCCAGGCCTGTTTGATATCTGCTTGGATAATTCGTTGATTTCAAAGACAATGGGATCCTTACTTCCCACTGCGACCTCAATAACACGACCTGGTTCACGACTCTACGCGTTCCGGTTCACCATATTCGATTCCCCTATCAGAAATCATGATTTCTCAACTTTTCTCCATCTTGAAGAGCGCTTTCACTGCGATTTTTCACCGCTGACCCTGGGGTACTGGTCCGGTTATTGCCACAGCCAACGCCTTCTCACGGAACAGGCTTTTCTGTGCGGATATTCTTAGAAGACGAGCGATTGGTCATAGCGCCCATTCTATTTATATGCGATCGTCATGCGATGCTCCTGCCGAACGGGATGGTCGAAAA